GCTCTTCCGCCATCACGTCCAGGAGAACCGCGACCTTGTTGAATGTGGGGCTGGCCCATGGAGTTTCTCGCCGAGGTCGGAGAATGGGGCAAGGTCATCCTCGAGCCGCCCGACTCGGGCGGCGGCGGCGGGCACCGCGCCATGCCGCAGACGACCTCGGGAGCTCCGAGCCAGCACACAACCGTTCCGACAGCACGAGACGCCCAAGGCACGACTCCCCATGTGAAAGACCGAGCCGCACAAAGGAAGGAACGCGTGGACTGCCAGTCGGCCACTGCCGTCCTCGCGGCGGCCTCGGCGCCCTTCACGAGCGTGGCATCCACTCTGCTGTGCACGTGGGCCAAGCAGGTCCAGGAAGCGGAGGCCGCTGAGCATGCATGGCAGACAGCCGCGGAGTGATGGCGACAGGGTTCCAGGCCCGACCACCCGCCACGCCCAGTCACCCCCGCAGTCACCGGCGATCACGACTATGTCACGGCCACTCCAAGCACAGGGACAGCACTCAAGGCAGCAGCCCCCAGTGTAAGACACATCCCGCCAACAGAGCCGGCCACGGTTTGAACAACGGCCGAAAAGCCAACAGGCAGCACGGCACAAACCACGGCCGCCGCAACCAGCATGACCGTGGACATGCCAGCCAAGGCACCACCACCACCGGCGCAGGGGAGCGTCCTCAAACGAACCCTCACGGGCAGAGCGAGCGAGACCACTCCCCGCGAAAGCCCAGAGCACGCACCGCAACAGCCCGCGGAAACCACCGACCAGGCCGCCGAGCCCAGTGTCACCAAACCGGGGTGACACCCAGGGGGACCGGCAGAGATGCCAAACCGCGTGGAAACCCCGGGACCCCAGGGTAAACACTCGTGGGCGGCAGCCGTCGCGAAGGGGAAGAGAGACTGGAGACCGCCACCGGCCCCGGGAAAGGGAATGGCTGGAGGGGCTGCCGCGGCGGGCGGCACATGACCTGGCATGGAACTACAACCCCCGCCAGAAAGGGGCTTCTCCGCCAAGGCCAGCCGACGACTCCGGGAGCTGCATGCCTTCCACGAGCAAGAGCGTGGCGTCCATGAAGACCGGCGGTTCTTCCACGCATACCTCGTCGCCCTGTACAAAGCCGGCCACCCCAGCGATGTGGGCCTCTGCACGGCAAGGGAGATCACAGCTCGCGCGCACGCAGCCAGGTGGGACGAGGACGATACGGCCACGAACGCCGACTTCGAGGGCCAAAACAGAGACGACACGCGCCAAAGCGGAAAACAGCCGGGTGCGTCCCTTGTTGTCCGGCTGCGCTACCGCAGCAGCCGGCCCGACCTCCACCACACCCGTGACTGGGTGGTCAGCCGCATCCTGGTCGACGACCTCGGACTCCCCGCCGCCGACATGAAGGCCATGAGCCTGGTGCCCAGCGTCCTGGAGTTGGACGTGATCCTGCGGGGCGAGGCCACGAAACCTACTGCTGCGTCCGGGACGCGTGCTGCCACCTGTGCCACGCCGATGACCACACCTACGCCAACTGCCCCGTGTTGGACCGCAACTGGCACCGTGCCCGAGAAGAGCTGGCCGCAGCCGCGGCGGCAGAGGCGGCGCGTGAACGGGAAGAGATGTCCGCGAGGAAGGGCAAGGAACTCCGGCGCAACGAGGCGCAATGGGTGGAGCGCCTGCAATGAGAGCAGGAGGCCGATGCGGCCACGCAGCGGGACGAGCGGCAAAAACAGCGGGGGCGACAGGGACGCAGGGCGGCCGGCCACTGTTCCACAAGCACTGTTTCCATGCTCTGGTGCCCTGGCCCCCGGCTGTGGCCTGCTGGGCAGGGCTGGGGTGCCCACCAGTGGTCCACAAGCACTGTTTCCCTGCTCTAGTGCCCTGTCTGCTTTGGTGCCATGACCCCCGGCTGTGACCTACCACTGTTCCATAAGCACTGTTTCCCTGCTCTGGTGCCCTGGCCCCTGTCTGTGGCCTGCTCGGCAGGGCTGGGGTGCCCACCAGTGGTCCACAAGCACTATTTCCCTGCTCTAGTGCCCTGTCTGCTTTGGTGCCATGACCCCCGGCTGTGGCCTACCACTGTTCCACAAGCACTGTTTCACTGCTCTGGTGCCCTGGCCCCCGGCTGTGGCCTGCTGGGCAGGGCTGGGGTGCCCTGCTCCTTGGCTGGTCCCTGGCCTGCCTGTGCTCTCCCCTGTGCTTGGCTGTTGGCCTTTTTGGGTGGCAGTGCCACCTTCTTGGGCTGCCCGCCTTTCTGGCTTCTGCTGTTCTGTGTGCCCTGTTGGCCTGTTGTGCC